TGAATAGTTGCAACACTTGTTCTTACTGATTGGATATTAAATGTGTTAAGTACCGCCCTTGATAGAAAAACTAACAAGACGGAATCCTGAATAGTTGCAACACTTGTTCTTACTGATTGGATATTAAATGTGTTAAGTACCGCCCTTGATAGAAAAACTAACAAGAGGGAATCCTGAATAGTTGCAACACTTGAAATTATTTTAGGCAGGATTAGAAGAAATTAATCTACGAGAACGTTTTACTAACCATATTTCTGTGCACCAGCAATACCAATTGTGGGGAGTACATATACCCGATTCGATTTTACTACTCATCAAGATCTCTACCAGCCTACCCTCAAATTGAAATTCTTCCAGGCAGGATTAGAGTAAATTAATCTATAAGACCTTGGATGTAGTCAAATATATCATTTGAAAGGGGTTTGACCTCCCGAGTCCAAACGTGTAATTAGATCTCGAAACCAGTCAAGAGATGATGGTACTATGAGATAAAAGTTTGTACTTGAAAAACCAAACAAACTCTGAACCATTCAATGAGCCATTATACCACGGCTAAAAATATTGGCTTTAAACAGTAAGCAAGGACAAACATACAATTTTAAGTTCCCTTCTAAAGCAAAAGGCGGCATACTGTTTGAGAACTAAAAGGTGAATAACTTAGTGAGACTAATATTAAAATACAGGTTTCACAAGCTTTCTATTAAATTTATGCCTGCCTTTAATACACCATTTTTGAGTAAAAAAAAGATTAACAAACAACAACAACAACAGGTCTGTACCATTGTAATCACCGTCAGTCGAACTCGACACCTATACAGTTAAAAAATTAAACTGTTAGGAAATAAACTTTACTAAATAGACAAACTTGATCAAGTTGCATATTCATAAGGCTGTTTACATGTGCATAAACTTTACTAAATAGATAAACTTGATCAAGTTGCATATTCATAAGGCTGTTTACATGTGCATAAACTTTACTAAATAGACAAACTTGATCAAGTTGCATATTCATAAGGCTGTTTACACGTGCTAAAATAAATAACAAAGTTAAATAGTTCGAGTTCACCTGCTACTCCAATTTCATCACCTTAATGCTGTAAATGATCATTTGAAGAAGACGTTGGTATTAAAATATAAGAGGCCAATACAAAACAAAATTTATGTTTGATGCTACACACATAACATGGGTTCTTTTGCATCAGAGAAACAGATAATTTACTATGGCTCAAAACAGTAGAATATAGTGGCCTATGTCCACATCCCCATTTCTTTTTTAAGCCTATCATTGCTGGGTACCTTTGCTAGCATATTAAGAAGAAACAAGCTCGTTAGAAAGTGATAATGCATTAGAAACATTTAGCAAATATCAAATTAATCTTGAACAATCAATACAGTTCGTTATTAGAATTCTGAAAATTGCTCAAGTTTTATAAATCTTCCATATTACATATTCCATAAAGACACCATTTATAAGATTACAAAGCCAAACAAGATCATCGTAAAATGACATCCAAGCAGCTACAGCATCAAATATTAAAAAAAAAAAAGGATGTCTTACTTGGCCTCTAAAGTGATAGTTTCATTATTGCATGTAGAAACAGGTGGCTGTGATGACTTTGAAATAAGAATGGGCTCTGGTGTTTGAGCCAAGGGGTCTTGCTGTAGCGTTGGTAGATCCCCATGACAGACCTCTCCCCATCTGTGGCAGATATCGTTTTCCATCTGGAACTACATATATTCAATTACTGAACATTTCGTTTAAATAATTCCAGGGAGACTGGATCAAATCATGTACAAACTATATGTAAGTTTATTAAGAATTTCAATCAGCATAAAACTGAAAAAAAGGAAATTGGATAAATAAATTTTAGGATCATAATGAATCCCTCTTAAAAACAAACTGTAAAGTCTACATACATTCTTCATAACTTAACTTAAAAATGCCAGAAAGTATCTTAAAAGGGTAATAACGAGGAGGAACAAAAAGTATTAAGAGAGTAAATTCAAAATGTTAAGACTACAAACAGTTTTAAAATATGAGGAAATCTGTTACTTCTATCTGTTTCCAATATACAACATTAAAAAAATATATTACAGGAGAAGTTTTCACATGGAAAAACTTTTAGCCTTAAAAGTTTCTAAGTTAAGTCTATGCCGAGTTAAAACATTTTGCAGGTATAAAAGACAGAATATTTTCACTTTAATGGTTTTTTACTTGCAGAGAACTTTACAAATCACACCTTGAACATTCTTCACAGAGAACTTTACGAATCACACCTTGAACATTTTTCACAGAGAACTTTACGAATCACACCTTGAACATTCTTCACAGAGAACTTTACGAATCACACCTCGAACATTCTTTACAGAGAACTTTACGAACCACACCTCGAACATTCTTTACAGAGAACTTTACGAACCACACCTCGAACATTCTTTACAGAGAACTTTATGAACCACACCTCGAACATTCTTTACAGAGAACTTTACAAATCACACCGCGAACATTCTTTACAGAGAACTTTACGAACCACATTGGAAACATTCTTTACAGAGAACTTTACGAATCACACCTCGAACATTCTTTACAGAGAACTTTACGAATCACACCTCGAACATTCTTCACAGAGAACTTTACGAATCACACCTCGAATATTCTTCACAGAGAACTTTACGAATCACACCTCGAACATTCTTTACAGAGAACTTTACGAACCACACCTCGAACATTCTTTACAGAGAACTTTACGAACCACATTGGAAACATTCTTTACAGAGAACTTTACAAATCACACCTCGAACATTCTTTACAGAGAACTTTGCGAACATTCTTTACAGAGAACTTTACGAATCACACCGCGAACATTCTTTACAGAGAACTTTACGAATCACACCGCGAACATTCTTTACAGAGAACTTCGCGAATCATACCGTGAACATTCTTTACAGAGAACTTAACGAATCACACCGCGAACATTCTTTACAGAGAACTTGATGAATTACACTGCGAACATTCTTTACAGAGAACTTTATGAATCTCAATGCGAACACATTTTGCACAGAATTTTATAAGTCTTAACATCTTGGAAAAGATGACATTTTGGAAGGGCAAATTCCGTTTTAAGGAGCTAGGTGTTAAAGAACTTGATAACAGTTTTAATAACCTCCAATCAGGAATCATTACTATACTTCTCTGATTAAAACTTGCAGTATATGGATATCGGTGTTTTTGTTTCTTAACGAAATTCAGATGTCTATGTTACTTTTTTTTAATCTGTTTATGCCAAGAGGAAAATTACATGTATTTGGATATTCATCATAGATAATTAAAAGTTTTGACAACAGAAATGTGGATGCTTAAGTCACTTTTTCTTTAAAGTTTACTTTCTCTGTGGCTCTAGACTAAATGTTAGTTTACATGTACTCAGAGTTGTTCATGATAAAACATGTAAACAATTTCTTTTTTTGTTGTTTTCTTTTTCATTATAATCTCAATAATCAAATATCATAAAGAATCTAATTATGGTTTTCTTTTGTATAAATAAACATTACACGTGACTACGGCAAAAAAAGAAGAAATAAGAAGTTAGCCCATAAATAGGAGAAGTTTCTCAGAAAGAAAAATAACAGAGTATTAAAACTTAAAAATCCTTCTGGAAGGAAATGATTAAGGGATAAACACGAGCTGCTTGATAGGCAGAAAAATGTCTTCGAATAAGAACAAACTGACTACTTTAATGTTGTCTTGTTTCTAAAAGAATGTTTCAAGCCAAATAACCAAATGAATGAGCTTTTTTTGAAACACTAATCACTGGCCTTACCTCTTTAGATTCCAGTTTTGCCCACATTTTGTGTAAATCGTGCAGCCAGTTATGTTGTACTGGATTTTTCAGCCTTTGGCAGTTTCTATTCTCAGAATTTTGTTTCTGAAATCCAGAGCCTGTGAAAAAGTTTTCAATAACATCTTCCTAGAAAATGGTCAAGATAAATTAGAAATATCTTGTACCAGTTCCCAAAAATAACAACATTTTCATAAACATCTTTAAATTACAAGTAAAGTCAAAAGGACACTTTTCTATATCCAAATTACAGGGCTAATTATAACACACACACACCCTTCCCAGTAAAGGTATTGAACCTTTATAATATTAGGCTTATCATCCAAATATAACTTAATCATAAAAAGAGGTTTGCCAAGTTATTTGTAGTTTTGATTTTCTTTAATGGGAGGTGAGGGGTCATTATGGTCACCCCTGTACAAAGAATGCAAAAGGATATAAATGAGAGAGAAAAAAGATAACATTATACCACAAAAATATGTAATAGCTGGAGCCTTCATTTCTGAATAGAATTTAAAGATGAATTTCTTGCCTGCTTTTAATAAAGTTATGAAAGAAAAATGTTTTCTGCCTATTAGTGACACCAACGAATAAAGCTATTTCTTGAAATCACGTGCTTTAAATTAAAATGTAAAATAATTTTCGTGTATATCTAGCTTACAGTAACATATCATTACAAAAATTTACCTTTTCCCATTCTTGCACATTTTTTGTGATTCGTTCACCAGTAGGGGACGTATTTACTGCTTTATCTCTGCAAGCAGTGAGAAAAACAGAATTGTTGTATGTAAAAATGTATTGATTAAAAAAAATTACTTTTCTAAAATCCACTAATCTTTTTAAGTAAATATCTCGTGTATATATTTCAAGCTAGATAAGGTTTATCCTTATATACTAAAGTACCTAATGAGTCTGAGAGATTCCCAAGATGTTTTTCCATTTTCACTTGTCTCGTGGAAATAATTCTTCTTCTTCTTGCTTCTCAGGTTTTGTTCTAACGAATGTTGTAGATTGCTACGGTGACTAAGCTGACGCCTATCCTAGAATACAACTAGAACATTTACTACACAAACACTAGTCTATAATCTGAAGAATGAAAATAAAATGCTTTCTGTCCACATTTTTTTTTTTCATTATTTTATTGGATTTCCCAGTGTTGCTTCTAGAATTCTTCTCAAGTGGTCCAAATCCACCTCTGACTTCAAGAAAGTGGGCCATTCATGTAATGAAGTAGGTCTCAACTTTGTGAGTCATAAAAGCATAACATGATCAAGTAACTTTTATTTGAAGAAACACTAAATTCAATCATTGATATTTGTGTCATTTGTGTATGTACTGAAAATATCTATGCATTCGTTGATAAAACTTACATTGGAGTCATAGCATCTTTTTGTCCTTTATTATTTCTATTTTTGCATCATTTTGATGGAAAAATGTAGTAATTTTTTGAAAATTAGCCGCTTCTTGGAACATCTTAGTACCTTTCATTTTTTCTGCCATTTTCAATCATCGATATCCCATAATATCAGGGAATCTCCCGCAAAACCAAATGATGTCATAACACAGCCATTCACATTCCTTTGCATATCTGAATGAGCTAATTACCATTTGGAATTTTCCACTCACAATCAATCGGAATCTATCGTCCTTCATAATACATTTCAAGGGTGGGCACACATGAAAAATAAAAATGCATACATCTATTTTTTTGTGTGTGTGAGAACTAGTATGCAGGTAAATGGTTATTTTGTGCCAGTGGCAATCAAAGTAGCAAAAATATGCAAAGTAGGTGTCCTAGAAGCAACAATGTTTCTTATTAGGAACAGTAAAAAAAAATGGATTTCTAAAAACTAACAATATGACAATGAGACTAATGTCTAATTTCTTTTCAGGTGATTCCTATATATTATAATATAACAGTGTTAAAATCAGAGTAATGAGAAATATGTGGTAAACATCTCAAACATATGTAGACTCTATAAACGTTCTCCTTCACAGCAATGTTTCTGCACATCTTTGCAATTTTAACTAATGAAATGTGGATAAAATAGAATTCAAATGTAAGGATTTGGCATTCAAATATCAATTTAGAAACTTTAAATTGTAAGTGCATATATATAAACATACTAACAGCAACATGCTTCTACTTACAAAAAAAAATAGCCATATAGAAACACTTTCACCCCCGAGAAACAACTTTTCCACGCAATATTGAATTGACTATTTTAATGAGGTTAGAAGTAGTCAACCTTCCTTAAGGCTTAATAAAGAAACCATAATCATATACGATAGTAGAGACAACCAACTGTTAATACTGAAAAAACTGTATAGATTAAGTTGATAAATATCAGCTTTCGTAATTGTGTTTTCAACTCATTACATAAATTAAAACAATTATGAATGAACTGTGGTGTTTGCAAACACAGAGTAAAACAGTTAAAGCTGAGCGTATTGTGTTTTGTGATAAAAAACACTAACGAACTGAACAATACTTGAAAAAACAGAACTCTGTATCTAAATTCTCTGTTAAAATTTGAGAGATGTGGGAAGACATGGATATTGAGGAAAGAAAGTGTGGAACTATCTAAACATTTATATCACACATAGCAGCATGCCAACCTTCAGATGTTTTGGCAATAGAAATCCAACAGACTTAGGTGATTTTTTAGCTTTTTTTGCCACCAGATGGGCTACTGCTCTTTTCAGGACAGCACGCTGATTTCCTAATAAAATATAAAAACATATATTGTTCTTAAACATGTTAGTAAGTTTCAAAATATGTCTTCCATAATATAGTAGCTAGATAAAAATAAACATTTTCTTGTTGTAACTCAGATAATCTATAACAACCATGAAATTAGTAACAAGCTAGTATTCATTAAGATGAACTTCAGATAATACTTTTATAGCAACCAATATCTATCTATCTATCTATCACAAGCAAGTTTGTACAAGTATTTCTAAAATTTACAACCTAAATAAAAACTTAGCTGGGGTCATTGTTCCATGAAATGTCTGAAATGCTACTTGTTCTCTACACCAGTAACACTTCTCATTCACTAATGTTACATGTTCTCTACACCAATAACACTTCTCATTCAATAATGTCTGTTGTTCTCTACACCAATAACACTTCTCATTCAATAATGTTACCTGTTCTCTACATCAATAACACTTCTCATTCAATAATGTTACCTGTTCTCTACACCAATAACACTTCTCATTCAATAATGTCTCTTGTCCTCTACACCAATAACACTTCTCATTCAATAATGTTACCTGTTCTCTACACCAATAACACTTCTCATTCAATAACGTTACCTGTTCTCTACACCAGTAACACTTCTCATTGAATAATGTCTCTTGTTCTCTACAACAATAGTACTTCTCATTCAATAATGTCTCTTGTTCTCTACAACAATAGCACTTCTCATTCAATAATGTTACAGATTCTCTACATTAATAACACTTACCATTTATTAAGATGCAGAAAGATTGTTTATTTATTTTTAAAATATTGGATATGTATTTTCTATCACAAGCCTTATGTAGATATTTGTGTTCAGGTAGTTTTCAATATAGATTTGTGACCGTATTATTTTTAACCACTCATATATTAGTTATAAACATAAGTGAAAGGACTTGTTACATAAAATTCAAAACTTGTGCATCGTTTGAATGTCTCGCTGATGTCTTAAAACTCCTGTGACTTGTGAAGCATGAAAGGTTTAAACACCTTACAAATTTCTCCCATACATGTAACATACCTGGCTTTACAAGTTTCATTTTTTGCTGTCTCTTTATTTTATATCCCAGATTATAAGTTGTATTCAAGGTAAAAACATAAGCAAGAGTGCAATGTACACCCGGATAACAACTGGTGCAACATTACTTAATAACCACACTACACGTTTCTGTTCATACAAATGAAAGGAAATGCTATAGAACAATAAGAAATTAACGATGACGTCTGTAATTCAAACTTCATGTCGAGAGACGATTCTTTATGGGATACCTAAAAGAAAATTTTATCATATACCCTTCTGCTGAATAATCTTAAGCTCCCTCCATTTGAACAGCAATTTGGTCACTTATGATAATTTTTGCTGTATCAAATAATGTAGTTTTTTCACAACTTCATACACTAGATAAAGTCTGTACCCAATAAAGTTAAACTTGTAATAAGGTTTTCTTCATGACCCATTCAAGCCATCTCAAAGCTTTATTAGTCTCAAAATGGGTACCTCATCATTATCTTTGAAGATATGTACCATCAAGCCATAAATACAACATGTACATGAAAAGGGAAAAAATGGACATGATTATTAACCTAGCCTGTGATATTTTGATTTAGAAACTAACAATTACCCTCACATAACAACTTATCAAATAATGAAGTAATTTAATATTCTAATACTCAAGCATCTTCTCTTTAAAACTTGCAGAAGCTTCCAAGGGTTCAGGAAAATGCAAAGAATTTAATATAAAATAGGAAATTTTCTGGGGAGGATGCCTCAATTCAAGTCCAAGTACCCCCTCTAGACCTTTTGGCAGCATATCCTCATCACTTCCCATTTCTTTCAACTTCCATATTCACAGAGAAATCTATTAATTAAATGCATGTATCTCCAACACAGCATCACAATATTATTTATGTATACGTGTTTGTTAGTTTCTTCTTTAATTACTTAATAAAATCAATACTTACCATCACCTGCTTGTGTACATTCCTCCTCCATTTTACACCATTCTAAGACTTTATCTTTCTTTACTAGATCTTTTGAAATAACCGTATTTTGAGTTGCTCGAGAAACTCTAGATTCAGAGATCTTAATGATAAAAAACAACACCAAGTTACTTTAAGTGTGAATGAATAAAATAACAACAACAAACATATATTCAAGAAATTCACATGATTATAAACAGATTTATTCCAATACTACAAAAATGTGCAAGAGTACAGCACATATTCTAATGAAAATAAAATACATACAGATTTTATGCTAAACACAGTTGAGTTCATTGATATGTCAATGAGCATGCAAAAAATACACTGAAGTGAAGGCTGATTTATGATTACAAATAATTAGTGCTATGAACAACCATTATTTTATATATAATGACCAAATGACTGAACATAATGACCTATCTGAACAATATATTGAGACTTCTTTTGCATCCTACTTTAGCGTTTACTCTACACCACCTATTTTAGTCATTTCTGTAATTAGATGCCTTGAGAATAACTTCTTTTCAGCGACATAACAAAGTAAAATAAGATTTTAATTCAATCAAAAAGTAATCCCAAGTATCAATATCGCTTGATTGAGCCACCATTGTTCTCATGCGCAAGTTTTGATTTGCAAAAGATTTCAGCAATGCAATAAACATATCTGTTTTTGTGGCTGTCTCTATTAGCACATCAGTGAGAACACGAATCAAGTTTCACATTTGTGTCTCTTGCATTGAGGCAAAGTTTCCAATATTTCTTCTGTGCATTGTTGAACGAAAGCTCTGACATTTTTGGTGGGATTTAAATCTGGAGAGTTCCAAATCCACATTCCACCACTTTTTCACAGACCACTCTTTCAAATTCAACAATTCTGAAAGTTTTGAGGCATTAATCAGGTTTTTCAAACCTGGCATTGCGATGTGTCGATTGGAAGACTTGCAATGCCAGGTTTGAAAAACCTGATTAATGCCTCAAAAGTTTCAGAATTGTACTCTTGGGTGTTTGACTCTTAATCATAGTGTTCACTAGAACTCAGGTTCGTGTCACATGTGCTGCAATCGGGATGGTTCAGAAACTAGTCACAGACATGCTCCGAGAATTCAATTACCTTTCATGTACTAAGGGGTGTTGCAAAATAAATCACATGCATTTACATTGTAATTTAGATCATAAGTTCCATAAAAATGGAAAACACTCAACAGAGTATTTGCAGAAAATAATCTTGACATATTGGTAAATGTATCACTCAAATTATTGAAACAGTACTCTGTTACCAATAATATAGTCAACAGTATTTTAGGGTGTGTTTACAGACATACTGATTACAAGTCAAAACAGGTAATCATCTCTCTATACAAATAGCTAGTTAGGCCTCACTTGAAATTCTGTATGTAGTTGTGGTATCCTTATTTAAGAAAGGATACTAACTTATTGAAAATGGTTTTGAAAGAACTACATGAATGATTCAAATGATGGAAGGGTTATCTTCAGGAAAAGGTTAAGATCTCTTAACTTAGTTTCTCTTGAGAAAAGAAGGATAAAAAGTGATCTTACCGAAGTATAGAAGATTATCTGAAGGATGAATAGGATAAAAGCCTCATATTTCATTGGGTTGTATTCTGAAGATAATAGGATGAGAGAATGCTATTTTAAGATTTAGAAAATGCAGACTAGGCTCCAATTGACAGTTTGATTTTTTCTAACAGAACTAACATTTATGTATTGTATTAGATAGTAGTGGAGGCCAACACTTGATACCAGCTAACAACTTAAGTTGGGGGAATCGGTTATTTCCTACAAATAAACAGTGGGTTTAAAAGGTTTACGTTTTCAAGGGTGGATAAGCAAGGACAATACTGAAGAACCAGGATTTATTCTACTAATTGGTTATCATCTGCTGGGAAAACAAAGAGAGAGAGAACAGCCTAATCTTTTAAGTGAAATAACAATTAGCAATAAACAGATAAAAGATGAATTAATCCTCCCTTTAAAGCTTTAAACAATTTCTTTACACATCAGTTACTTTTATTTGCTTAAAGCTTTAAGGATTCACATAGTCTAGCAACAAAACTGAATATGACAACATCATGGTAGATGTTTTCTAACTAACTTACTAACTTGGTACAGAAAGAAATTTCACAAAATGCTCCTAGCTTCCAACGAAATATAGCTTTATTTTCGAGTTTAGAGAAAAGCAAATCATTTTAAGCATTACAGTTTATACTCTCTGTAGATAAAACCCATGCACACTTGAAGTCCACTATGAACTATAAAGTATTAAGTAAGTTTAGAGAAAAGCAAATCATTTTAAGCATTACAGTTTATACTCTTTGTAGATGAAACCCATGCACACTTGAGGTCCACTATGAACTATAAAGTATTCAGTTACCTCTTTGCTTATCAATTTCAGATCTTTCTGGACTTCTTGAATTTGGTGACAGATAGTTTGTAGGACCTTATCATGATGTTCTTTATGATTCTGGACTTCTTGGTGCAGGTATGGTACTGTTCTTGACTGATCTATAAACATTAAATAATGCAATATTAAGAGCAGTAGTCACAGAAGCAACACATGTATTAGATAATTATGGTAAAGGATGCTTTGTGGGAATGAAGATAATGGATTTATAATAGTGCATATTAATACAGCAATTAAGGCTATACACACACACACACACACATATATATTTAGTCAGCATACAGATACCAGTGTCATGATATAAAACACCGTTTGGTTTAAATATTAGTGACTAATTTATATTTTATTATTTTTAAGTTTTGTTATAATAAGAGTTAAAAGCAGACGATTGTACAAGCTTTTGTTAATAATTAATTGGTGTCAAGAATATAGAAAGTGACCAGACGACTAAGTAATAAAGATATAAATAGTATGAGACAATCGGGAAGCAGCAGACAGACAGTATTAGACAGATAAAAGCAAAGAGAATATAGTTGGTGTGAAGTTAAGTAATGTAAAAGTAACAAGCCTAACGATTGACATAGGCCTAATGTTTGATATATATATTAGAGTGAAACTAACAGTGGAAAAGGAAATAAGAAAAAATAAG